TTATCTTTAGGGGATGATATTGCCTGTTTGTACTCTGATCAAGGTTCATGTTTTTTGTAATTCTATTTGACAAATCTTGGTTTTGCTATCAAGTCATATGAGCTATGTGAATCCACACTGCAGACCTTTGTTGCTGGCAATGCATTTTCTTTGGTTCCTGTTGATATATTGCACGTGATTTTTATCTAACAAAAGCAAGTAGTTGGATTATTTAAAGATTTTTCTTATTGAGGATTTATTCTTTGCAAGAATCAATATATATGAGGATTTCAGGTTGCAGCCGATCGACATCAAAAGTTTCGAATCCAAACGAGTTGCTTTACTTTTGCATCACTTGATAATTAACATCCTTTTTTTTTCTTTTCTCAAAATGATTGCCCTCCACATTTTTTGTGACCGTGTGCAGCTGTTATTGTCTTGGGTTTGTACTTTTATGTAATTGAGAAAATATGTTCGACGAAAATGGCAAAGTGTGTATGCTTGTGAGCTATTACGGGCTCAACATGCTTTTAATTGAGCTTATTTCATATACGAGATGCTTTTGATCTATTTAGTTAGCTGAAGTTATGTATCTGATTCTATCTATGGTTATGAGATATGATTTGGCTATTTTGCGCAGCTTTGATATGTTTAACTATTTTGAGCTGCTTTGATATGTTTTTACTGAGATACGCATTTTCTGGGTTGTCTGAACTTAAATTTCTTGTGGGAGTTTGAGGGTGTGCTTGCGAGGTTTGTTAAGAAATGATTGTCGGCTTGTGACTAACATTTGTTAAGATGGTGTCGGTGTGGCCGAGGGTCTTAGGCTCTTAGCTATGCGGCAGGTGACGGCTATGAGCTTTTTCTCACTGGTTTTCGCCTTTTTACCTATTTACTATTTTTATTATTTTATTGTTGTTTATTCAATGTTCTTTTCATTTTATGTTTGTTAAATTAAATTAAGAATTTTTATAAAACCACATCAAAATGGAGTAGAATGTTTAGGTTTATTTTCTCATTTTTGTATTTAGACAATTAAATAAAAAAAAAAACAAAGCTCCGAACAACCTTCCTTGAGATCGACCTGAGGTCGGGTAACTCGGTTACCAAATACCCAAAAAAATCTCTCGAACAGTACCTACTTGGATCAAATGATATGTATTACTTCAATTTTGGTCATCATTTTTGTGAAAAATGGTACTAGTCCTAGAGTAAGATAGTATCAACTTTATGGTGTTCTAGTACCAGACATCGGGTCTTCAGTACCAACTCTAACGAACATAGAAAAAACAACGAATTTCGGTCTCAAATGATGTTTACATGACTAATAATACTCCCACATTAGTTTCTATGAGATTTAAAATGTGTTTAATTAAGTTTAATTGCAAATTGGTC